GGTGGATTACAGTAAACCACTATCAAACACTCAAAGCACCAGCTTTCAAGAATCTGAGATGATAATGAATGAAATAACACCACATTTACAGAAAACTGCACACATTTAACCACACATATTCACATACTGGAGAAGGTATTAAAAGGCTGAGCTACAGTAGTGTACACTCACCCCAAACCACATGGTGGGTTCTGTCTGGCCAGAGCAGGTGTTTTCACACCAAATCTTTTTATCATTTTTTTTTAAAATTAAAATAAAATCCAACATACCTGACAATTCCCGTCTCAAGAAGTCACTAAGGCTTAGGAAGTTATGATGAATAACTAGCAAAAATATGACAACAGCCACTATAAGGATGGAAATGTTCACTGAAAATTAAGAAGAAAAATCTTTATCAATATAACCAGAGAACTGAGAAACTCAGATACAAAAGATAGACAAGCACATATACACGTACCTTTCCTTAATGTCATTTTTCTGTTCTTATTTTATTAGCATAAGGTTCCTGAAAACCTGCAAGAAACAAGATAAAATGTTATATGTTTCTTTCCATACTTAATTAGCAACAACATTCTGGCGTTTATGAGATTTTAACAAACAGCATTATATGCTTTAAAAGCATTACGTTCTCTACATAAAATACATATATTAGAATTTCAGCTGAAGTGTCACCACACAGAACAAATCACCAAAGTGGAAAAGAAGGCAGCACCATCATGTTATAGAAGGGGGTAGAAACACAATACCAATGTAATTTCGGTAAGAAATTCAAACATGCTCGTTCATTGTTTAAGGGCCGAGGTGAAATCAGAACAACAGGTGTGTATCCTAGCGTGTGAAGGAGCTCTCAAGTAACACACAGAAAACTCTCTATCAATACGCAAAATTCCAGAACCGGTGAGAGACTTGTGAAATTCCTAAATGAAAACACCTCAGGCTGGTCCGTGACTGTTACATGTATCAGAACCACCTTCCTTCCCGCTGCTGCATTTCACCCCCAGGGCAGACACGGCAGCGGAGCCCAGGTGCCTGCCCTGGGCTCTGTTTCGAGCACCACCGCGCTGCTGGCACGGGGCGGGACATGGAGCTTTGCCTGGGGAGCACAACGCCACGTCCCGCTGTGCAATTCCCAGCGCCAGGGCTGAGGCGCGCACGGACGCGGCCGGTGCCCCAGCGACACGCGGCAGCCGGGCTGGGGGCAGTGACAGAACGTCCCCTGCACAGGGACGGTCACGGACAATAAAACACGCACGGCGCCACTCCGCCGGCTCCCCGCAGCGCACACCGCGCTCCCCGGGCTGCTCTACGGGCACAGTCCCGCTCCGGGGCCGGCG